CAGGCCCTCTACGCCCTGGTGAACCTGGTGATCTTCTACCCTGCTGCCTCGGCCTGGACATGGGTGAGCACCGGCCTCCCACTCCCAGTTTTCCCAGTTGCCAGCCGGCCCCTACCTCTCTGCCGACCCTGGGGGTGGTCGCAGCTCTTTGCGGCTGACCTCCATCTCGTTGCAGGTGGCGTTCATCTTCAGCTTGGTGGTCTACGGCACCAGCTACAGGTCCATGAGCTCCATGGCCAAACCATCTTTTGCAGACGATGGCAGCCTCGCTGACGGGGGGATTGACCTGAATATGGAGCAGGGGATGGCAGAGTGAGTGTCCACACCCGCACGAGTCCAGGTGAGCAGGACCTGCTGCCTGAGCGTGCGCGCAGAGCCAGGAGAAGGCCGGGCCTCGGCTCCCACCTCAGCTGGCACAGGCGTGAGGGGAGCTGGAAACTTGTAGCTATTTTTTTCTGAGGTTGTTCCTAAACTGGCCTTGTTGCCTCAGCCTTTTCTACCCGCTGTGCTTGTAGGTTTGGGTCCAGAGGAGTTTGTGAGGGTGATCAGGGGCCGGAGCACCTGCCCTGTGAGGACAGCCTGAGGGAGTTGGGGTTTTTCAGCCTGGAGAAGAGACCTTATAGCAGCCTCCCAGTGCCTGAAGGGGCTACAGGAAAACTGGGGAGGGACTCTTGATGAGGAAGCGTAGTGGTAGGATGAGGGGTAATGGTTTCAAGCTGAACGAGGGGAGATTGAGATTAGATATTACAAAGAAATTCTTCACTGTGAGGGCAGTGAGACCCTGGCACAGGGTGTCCAGAGAAGCTGGGGACACCCCATCCCTGGGAGTGCTCCAGGCCAGCTGGGACGGGGCTTGGAGCAACCTGCTCTGGCAGGAGACGTTCCTGCCCAGGGCTGGGGGTTGGAACGAGACGATCTTGAAGGTCCCTTCCAGCCCAAACCATCTCCTGATTCCTCGTGTCTGTCTGCAGACAGCACTAAGCATTTGCTTGTCCGCAATTCTTGGCGGTCTCAGTCGACACAACAGCAATTCCTGTGAAGTGCCATTAAACAAAATAAAGAGACAACGGTGCTGCAAACAGCCGAAATATCTTCTAGATTTACACGTTTCCCAATAGCAAGCCTTAAACTAGTACAGAAAACTGCCTGTCCTGGACATGTCAGCTTTGCTCTCTGTCTTCCCCTGCCTTCGTCTGCTGGCCCAGCTTCTGTTGGGGCTCTTCAGCATGCGCTCAGTGGTCAGTGGTCCCTGCCCTCCCATGCCCTCGACCTACAATTTAGGGTTTATCAGCATCTTGCTGCCAGGCTTTTGAAAAAACACAGGGGGACCTTGTTCCCAGCAGGGCCCTTTGTGTCCTGTCAAGTGTTCTCCTGCTGGGAGGGCCGTGTGTCGATTTAGACATTTCTACGGTTCTTAACAGCAGTTTTATTTCTGCATCTCGGTGTTTTTCTCTTGTTTTACGCTGTTTTGGCTCTCGTGAGTCAAAGCATGAAATGTTTTGGATACTTTTTTTATGTGAGACACAATGTGGGGATGGTCTAGTAGGGCTCCTGAGCAACAAAGGCGGGCAGTATTATTATTTATTAATTTTAAAAATTAATTGACGCTTGTCCGAGGCACAGGCTGTGCAAAACAGGGAGGAGACAGAGCTGGGAAAACAAAACCTGCTCAATGCTCCTCCCGTTTGTCAGGTGAAGCCTCTATGAATTTATCGCTCTGGGCCTCGGGGAACCCCATTTTGGGGTCCAACGGTGTTTCCCTCGCTCTGCCTGTAACTCAGACAGATCCTGCACAGCATCTCGAGCTGATGGTGATGTCCCAGCCTAAACCAGTTGTTTCTGCTTTTGCTCTGTGCCGCAAAGTGATTTTTTTTTCCGTTGTTCGCTCGACTCCGTTCTTGGATGTGATTTGAGTTGTGACGGGTGTAGAGGCAGTGGGTGCTGGCCGCTGCGGGGGGCGGTTTTGCTGCCCATTTCCACCCCTCCTGCATTCCTCAGCTTCTCAACATCCCTTTCTGGAGGGAACCTGGCTCTCAAACTCGTCAGATTTTATTCTTTGCGCACTCCAGTTCTTCTAGGAAGTGGCGCAAAGCGTAGCTGCAGGGATGCGGAGCAGGGGCACGGAGGGGCTGCGCTGGCGGAGGAGCCAGCGTGGTTGGGGCTGGCACAGAACGTTCACGTTTTGCTTTTTTTCCTTCAGGCACCTCAAGGACGTGATCCTACTGACGGCGATAGTCCAAGTGCTGAGCTGCTTCTCGCTCTACGTCTGGTACTTCTGGCTCTTGGTAAGCCCCCCACGGTTTTCCTCGTTGACCTTGTCTTTCCCCGTCTTCAGGGCAAACGTTCTTTCCCCGTTTCATTTCATAGCGCCCTGTTTCAGGCCAAAACTTTGCTGACCTTGAGTCAGTTAAAAAAAAAATAAATCGTAAAGCTGCTTTGAGTCTATCCCACAAAGGTACATAAAGCAATCTTGGGAGCATAGAAAGTTATTTGGGTCCTTACAGGTTCCTTTCTCGGTGGCCTGGCAGAGGGCAGTCGAGGCTCTGGACTGTTCCCTGGAGACCATCTGGATCACATTTATTTTTAAAAAATTCAGAAACGGGGAGAGGAGGGGGATGTTTTCTGCAGGAGGCAAGAGCCGGAATGTCTGGGAAGTTGGATCTTTCTGGGTAACTCGGACCCGATGCTGGGATTTCCGTGTCTGAAGCCGAAGCGCTGTACACGTACACAAGTTCCTAAACCGTCTGAAACGGGGCCCTTTTATTTTGGACGCCTGTTTTTGATTTCCCTGCATCCTGCGATGCCCCTGATCCACCCTGTAGAGACATTCCAGCTTCTTCAGTAGCCAGACCCATCCCCAAAGTGACCGAGTTCATGCCACATGTGGGTTTTTGTTTTTTATTTTCTTTTGCAGGCTCCGGGCCGCGCTCTTTACCTCCTGTGGGTGAACATCCTGGGGCCCTGGTTGGCAGCCGACTCTTCGCCCGCCGCTCAGGAACCGAACGAGAAGAAACAACGCCGACAAGAACGCCGCCAGATGAAACGCTTCTAGCCCTGGCCGAGGAGACGAGGCGAAACGCCCTCTCTCTCATCTCCATGCTGTTATTTCATCAGGGACGCGACCGAAACCATCGCCGCCCTCTGTCATCGCCGCCGTTGCGCCTGAAAGGCCGCGAGAGACTTCCCTCGGATGGTTCTCGGCGCCGGTCGAGGCCTCGCTCCTTGGGGTGACAAGAGGGGGGGGTGTTGGTGATGCCGGCACGCGTGGCAATACCTTTCTGACAGCAGCGCTGTATCGCGTTCGAGGTTGGGGGGAAAATAGCACATTAAAGAGCAGAGTCGAGTCGACCGTGCCGGCAGCGCCTTTGATGCTAAACACACCGGTGTCTTCGTGGGAGAGTTTCCCTGCAAGATTACCCCCGAGATGAGGGGTCTTATCCCTTCCCGCGCTCGCTTGGTGCTGTCCCTGCGGGATGGGGAGCTGGGGAGGGAGAGGCTGAGAAGCTTTTAGGATTGAGCCCGGGCTCCCTGGAGCCCTTGGCCTGCGCTACCTTTGCGTGATGAAAAGCTACAGCTAGAAGCCAAAACTAAATCCCTTCAGGGTTTTGTTTTGTTTTTTTTTCCCTTCTTTCTTTTAAATCAGCTGAACTGCTGCAGAGACAGCAAGTTAAGAGACAAGGAACAGCTCAAGTCACCTTCTGCTTTTGCTTACTTCGATTTATTAACGTGGGGTTTTACACGCTGTGTTGACCCCTTCCTCTTCCTCACCCACCACCTTGGAGCCTGAGCCTGGTCAACGTTCACCCCGGTGCCAGCCTTGGCTTTTTTTTTCTTTTTTCTCCGTAACCTTTCGCCCACACAGTGTTTCCATTACGTCA